CAAAACACGAACAGAAGTAGAAATGTCACCCCTTAAATTACTGAAGGTGGTCAGTCATTTCCTTTATTAGTCTCGCTCAGGCCGACCACGAAGCCAGAAATGTCCTTAGCATCTGTGTTGAACGAAGAGAAATCTCACATCTGTCGGACGGAAGTTGAGGCCCTTATGAACGCCGAATCGTGATTTACGAATGAAGGTGCTGGGCGTAGGTGGTCACTATGGAGAGTGAGTGCATTGGGTGAGTGTTTTCATTCGTAGGAGGATGGGTTTCAGTTTCAGGGTGAATGATTTAAAGGGTTTTCGTGGACAGAAAAAAGAAAAAAGGCGGTTGCAGTTTATCGTACATATAGGAATGAACGTATGGGTGTAGATGTACATGCAAGATAGTGAAGCCTGTGGAGCTCTTGTGTGTGTGTGTTTGTATTTGCGTTTGCGTTTGCAGTGTAAATATGTGGGTATATATACAGGGGAGATTGTACACATGCTGTTAAGGATACCCAAACAATGGAAAACAGGGAGCTCTGGCAAAGGAACAGCATATCTTAACTTCCGTCCCTTTCACTGACGATCTGTTGCACAACACCAGCAAAAAACTATCAAAAGGAAGCAAGACAATATCCCAAGAAATAAAACACACACACTAAGATCCCATGCCCCCCCCCCCCTTCGTTAATGTAATATCACTACAGGAACTTGCGTCGCCATTATGCAATCAACGAAACTCTCTTCCTCTTCTCTCCTTCCTTCACACCCAGTAGAGCATCGCCTTGCGTGGAAAGCAAGAAAATATTAGGTTTTAAAAAGAATTCGTGGGAGGAGGTAGCGCTCTTGATTGGGATATGTTCGCGGTGTTCCTGCGTCTTGCATGAGGTGCGAGATGCCATAAATAGGAAATCATGGGCAGTTCACTGTCAGGGCAGGGCGAGAGAGGCCCAGAAATGAGGGGCCGTGTTTAAAAGGGTTATTTAAAAAAAAAAGTAAAAGAAAAAAAAAATATATATATATAGCGAGAGAGAGAGACGGACAGAGAGACAGAGAGAGAGAGAGAGGCAGATTGAGAAAGATTTAAAGATCAAAGTACAAATATAGATAGACCGATAACCAAAGAGATAGCATATTGTTCTTAACGTTTTATTCACATTTAAAAAAAAAATCTGACGCAAAAATATGAAATACTGAGAAAAGGGTCTCATAAAACGGATGCATCCTTTCCTTCCCAGTCAAAAAAGGTCACTAATAACAGAGACAAAAGCCAATCGCTAAACCTGTTATCGAGGGAGACTGATTGCCTATTAGCCGAACGGAAAACGCGATCCGATCCGTCAGATTAATGTTTCTAAGCCGGATCTGAAATCGCTTTTCAATAACATTTATTATTAGCATAGTTAAGATACCAACATGGTAAATGATACATTGTTTCTTAGATTTATGGATAAAAACATAGATATAATTTATATACTTTTCTGGAAACACATGAAATTTTGGATGATTTGTATAATATACAGCTATTAAGTGATATAAAACTTTCACCTTATTGAAAAGCGAAATTGTAATTCCACTAAATTGACCTTAGATGAGATATAATTGTCCATTTAGCAAGAAAATTACAGAAAAAAATATCTCGCTTTCCTTCTCATCGGGGCAAGCAGGACGAGATGACGTCACAATAGTAATTTTATGATTGGAATGCCATTATATACAGGAACAAATCAACTTAGATTTAGGATGAGATCAAGGGATTATTATGTGCTCCTGCAAAAAATGGTCATGTGTAACTTGTTATTTTTTAACATATATACATATATCTATACATGTGTGTGTATGTATGTGTGTGTGTATGGAGATTAGCGTACTCAGAGAGTGTAGCAATCACCAAACCTTAGCCAAGAAGATCTCCCAAAGCCTCCCTTCTCCGCGCAGAGAGGGAATCGCGGGCGTTCGTGCTGGACACCCCTGGCTGCGTCATCCCCGCCTTCGCCGCCTCGCACCCCAGCGTCGCCAGGTTTCGAGCGAGAATACCCAAGAAGGTGTGTCCCTCCCTGTCGCTCTTTTTTTTCTATCTTCTTTCGATCTCTTTCTGCGTCTGTCGCTCTATTTCTTTCTTTCTCTATCTCCGTCTGTCTCTCTCTCTCTCGTGTGTGTGTGTGTGTATGTATGAGAGAGAGAGAGATTCAAGTGCATGTGTGTGCACTTGAATATCTTTACAAATCACCACAATTCCACACGAATTAACATCAAGAACAACAACAACAAAATTAAAACATGAAAATTCTCGATGATTTCTTTTTTCATAAATAATTTTTCTTTTCAAAAATATAACTCCCAAAACCCCTCTTTCTTAAACCAGTTCTTCTGCTCCCTGCAACGGCCCCTGACTGAGGCTGAGGGACTGTTTCTCCTCCTCCACAAGGACCGAGCCACCGAGTACGACATCCGCGAGGACCATCTGCAGTGCGAATACCAAGGGATCGCGCGAGTCGAGCAGAGTTTCGAAAATTTTACGATATCTTGCGATCGTAAATTTCGGTGAGTGATAGGGCTTCAGAAATGGCTCGTTCGGTTTTTTTGTATATCGGTGTTTTTTTTTTTTTTTTTTTTTTTTTTGGGGGGGGGGGGGTGTTCTACGTGTTAATGAATGGTATATGTTGCATACTGAAATACACGCACGAACGCAAAAACAGACACACATACACCCATACACGCGCATGCATAAGCACAGACACACACACACACACACACTTTTTCTCCCTGTCTCCCTCTCACACACACAAAGTTGACAAGCAAGTCTATTACCAAAAGTCAAAGTCATTCATTAACAGACCCCGTTCCCCCCACCCCATACACACGTACAATTGACACATTTGTATAGCACGATAAATGGAGGGGGTTGCCAGTTAGTAATTCTGGGATCAATTTTGTATGTGCCACGTGTATCCATAAGCGGTTTTTTTTTTTACTTTTGTTTTATTTTTATTTATATATCAGTTATTCATTAATTTATTTTATTATCTTCTTTTTTGCATGCGGAACAGAAGTTAATACTGTATTAAGTGTTTCATCCGTATACACATCACATTTAATCTATGGCATTTAATATCCATGGCGTAGGACCATTAACTGTTCATTTTCTTTTTCTGAGCGAAGTGTAGGCCTACAATTATTTTTATTTTCTTTCAGGACTTTACTTTAGAGAATTATAGGAACACGTTTACTTGCGGTTTTGCAGTCACAGTAACAATCAGGATTTTTTTTTAAATTTGAATATGGTGGTACTGGTATGAAAAGTTTTTTTTTTCTTCTTTTCTTTTCTTTATTTCAGTGATATGACGCATTTTTTTTTTTTTTTTTAAGTTACGTGCATCTCGAAGTTAAGGAAATTCTCTGTGGATTTTTTTTTTTTTTTATCGTTCATATTTCCAACATTAAAACAACATCAACAATCTGAATGTCACGTGTCGAAATTTAATAAACTCCTGCAACAAGATCCACTTCTGAGTTCAGTTTTTAATCCTGGACTTTCGCAGATGGAATTATTTCTGCATACCAGTTTTGCTTTGCTATTTCTTGACGTCATCAACTGCATGGAAGCATCGAGACAAGTTGCCAGTTCGGTATTAATTCTTAAGGCCACGTACAGGAGGCATTATAAATATTCCCACTATGAAGCAGCCATTTCGGAAGAAGAGTTAAATATCAAATGATGGCGTTAAATGACAGTAATGCCCCCTCCTTGCATTATATCTACACCCATTAGCGTAAAAACGACTCACTTTGACATTTTGACTTGGTAATTGGCAAACTTCGTTTATGAGCTAAAGTTCCTTAGGTCCGAGAAGCTTGGGATTGTTAGCAGGAGGATATAACTTGGATATTCACATGTTGCAGTCACGGCAGAACTTACATCAAGCACGTTGCGTAATCAAATCTTGAACATGCTACTAACACATCCCATGTTGCTTATGTTAGGAGAGCTTCAAAACCTGCACTCAAGACGCTATATTCTGTCCGTAACTGTACAATCAGAAAAAAATAAAAATTATCATTACCATTTCTTGTGTTCAATGAGGAACTGAACGCTTCTTTCTGTTAACACTTGATTCCGGTGCTAACTACCTTGCCTCGCTATTCCACACCACTTCGTCGATTTTTCATATCAGTTTGTGCATTTTTTTCATATTTGTGCAAAAGGTAACGATACTCATTTCTCTGACTGCACATTCGTGTTCTGCCGCCAGGTTGAAAAGGAAAATAAAACTGACGGAGACGAAGACACTGATAGAGGAGGACGGCGTGATGGTCACCTGTCACGACGGAACATTTATTGTCTACAGAAACGTGCACTATTTTCTGCAGCCTCGAAGGTCCAAGAAGAAACGGGATAGATATAAGGTAAGGTTTTAAGGAAACGGAGAGCAGAAAGGCGAATTCGAGAGAGCTGTGGGGAGGCGAAAGATATTTTCATTAAATAAAAGGTTTATGTTTAGCTGAAAAAAAAATAAATGTTAGGAGGAGAGGCAATTGTTTATTTCTATTTTCAGATTATCATTAATAAAGCATCTGAGCGTTTCAAAAATGGGAACATTCCACCGCTCATCCCTGACAAAAAAAAAAAATTAACTAAAAATGAAATACGTAAATAAATTAATAGAATTAGATGACATGAAATAAGATCAATAGAATATAGAATTAATAAAATCATAATGATAATGATCATGTCGATGTTCCGTTAACAGGCAAGTCCTTCAGAACATAGCTTATGACCAGGAAATAAATGCCTCGCCCGGAGCTTCTGTCTCCGGAAGCCCAATTACATCCTCTTATTAACCCCGACAGGACACAGGTATTGATCCCCCGCCTCCCCCCACCCCCCCTACTTCCCCCTTCTACTCCCCCTCCCCCTTCTCTGTCATCCCCCACCCACACACACAACCCCAGGCTGTGATTTTATGAGCGAGAGGAGACTGGCCCCCTCCCCTTCCTCCTCCCCCTCCCCTTTCCCT